TTCTCTTTTCCGTAACAGTTACACAAATACTATAAAAATCGATCAGTTATGGTTTCAATTAATCGAAATACAACTATATCGCTAATGGCTTGAAAATAATCGAATTTTGTGTACCATCACTAGTTGCTGGTACTCAAACTTTGCATTGCATTGCTCGAGCACCACGAACTTGTTTGTTTCCAATAATAATTTAATATATAATATAAATACCGACGTTTACAAGTGCGAATTAATCGGTTATAATATTTAACCGATACGAATAATAAAAAATCCAAAAACCTGAAATTGATCATAAAAAGGAGACGAAAAATCGCAGTAGAAAAGAAAAGGCAAGTAAATTTTTGAAATACGTCGCATATTGTGATAGATTAATTGGCAATGCGGATAGCAGCAAAAGCAAAACAGGCCAAAATTGCGGCTCCACACGCCCCCACAGTTGCCGTCCTTTTAGCCAATTCCCAAAACCAACTCAGAGCCAAAGCAATTGTTAGCCAAGAAAACTTTTCAATGGCTCGAGCGTTCATATCTGACAGTTGCCTGGACTGTCTGTCAATGTGTGTGTGTGTGTGTGAGTGTATGTGTGTGTGTAGTCAACTGTTTTTGGGAGTATTTGCAACTTTATGCCGCAACTTGCCATCAAAAGGGCGGCAGGCGTGGCCCGTTGTTTGCATTTTGCAGCACTGTAGCTAATGGCAATATTTTTGCGGTCGACGACAAGGACTGAAGCGAGGGCAGTTCCGAGAGTTTGTGTGTGTGTGTGTGTTTTTTTGGAGTGCGCAATGCTAACGAAATGACAATGGGGCACAGAACTTGCCATTCATTACTTAAAAACTACAAAATTAGCGTTGAATTTTTGCCACAGCAATCGTTAAAAAACTTTCTAGAACCACAGCCGAAAAAGTCTGTGCGAGAGAGAAGGGGAGAGTGGAGAGTGAGAGAGAGAAAGAAAACTTTATTTTTACAACTAATTGGCAAACTTAAATGTAAGATTTAATTTTGTTGTGGGTAACACAGCAACGGCAGCCAAGCCAAGCAGGCAGGACAAAGCCGTTTGAGGCTTCATTAAAAAATTACATTGCGCCGCAGGCGACACAGAGAAAACGACAGACGAAGGGAGAAGGGTAGACAGAGGGAGAGGGAGGGGTAAAGCAGCTAGTGGCAAGAAGTTTCATTGTCGCCCGAGTTGGCAACAAAAATATTTGCCACATAAATAAAAGCGAGACAAGTTGAATGTGGCCGCAGCTGCTGGTCCAGCACATATTGACAGCAGCTGAATAACTTCAGCTCACCCACATATATTATATAGCTCCCTCTCCCTCACTCTATATGCTTGACTTACCTGGAAACTTGTAGAGGGCCACCTCGTTGCAATTAATCTCAATCAGGGTGGACGTCTCGTTGGGCAGGCCAGCGCATTGGCACATCGAGTTGAGTGGACACGCATAGAGCACATCCTGCTGCTGGCTGCCAAGCAGCGCAGCTGATCCTCGTGCCGGCGGCGGACCACGTGCCAGGGCGCGGCCCGTATTCCGAGCATTGCGATGCAACCTCTGACCCGCCGCAGCAGCGCCCCCGCCATCGAACTGCCAGCAGTGGGCGGTGCAGACGAGGCACGAGATCAGCGCCAGGTACAGGTGCATGCTACAAGGAAACGTACAGAGAAGTTGGTTGAGCAAATTAGTTAACGGTTTCAGTGTGGGTAGTATTTTTTGGGTCAGTGCTTAAAATCGTTTTAAGTGTGTGTAATCTTGTGCGGGAAGTGCGAATGTAGGAGAGATGCTAGAGAGAGATGTAGGAGAGCAGCTTAGCAGTTACACAGCTAAATAAAAAAAGATGCTGCAACTTGTCTCTCCTTTATCAGATATACATATGTAGGCGTCGCATCAGTGCGATATTACACTGTTGTTGAAGTTTCAATATGATTTCTTAATGCAGTAGAGTTGATAAACACTGGCAATTCGTGTTAATCGATTGATTTAGTATTGTACTGCAAATTAAGGAAGTATTGTCACTAGGAGAGAGACAACTATAGTTATTGCTGAGCGGGTGTCGCTGAGTGAGAGCGAGACGGCTAGTTGTCTCCATGCATATATATTTTTTCATATATTTATATTATTGGTACTTAAAGTTTTATTGCTGCGTTGCTTTACCCTCACAATTATCATCATTATCATCTTTTTTTTTTTACTTTGCAATTATAATCTACAAATTCGACTTTGCATATATTGTTGATTTTAATTTCTCCAAGCTCCACCATATAATTCAGCTTCCATTGCTCAGCTCACTACTGAAATTTCAGTAGAGTTAGTTGAGCATTGGCAGTTAAATTATACTGCAATTACTCAGCTTTACTTTGAAAATTGTCTAACATGTTTAGGAAAGAGACAATTTAAGTAAAATATTATATGCTTGAGATACTGTTGATATATCAAAATGAAATGACTGCGTCTCTGCCAATGTCACCAGAGTAAATATGGTTTTAAGTCGTTTTATTTATCATACATTACAAAAAAAGCCACAAATATTTATTTTCATCAAACCAAACAAATCTAAGCAAAGAAGATATATATATGTAGAAAAAAAAAAATAAATAAACAGCTTTTACTTTGTGTAAATAAATGGGAAAATATAATAAAACAAAGCTTGCTGGCAGCTCAGCTCAAACTGTAAAAGACCAACCATGATCAAATATTAAAAGCTACTAAAAATTTGAAAATTTACCAAACTTATATATATATTTTTATTTCTGTTGCTTATAAAAAAAAAATAAAATAAAACAGAAGCAGAACTCGACAGTGTCATAAAAGTTATAAGGGAATGCATTTGCAAAGGACCGGCACTTAGTCTGCAAAGCGCACACAAACTAAAAGCTCCATAAAAAAAAATTAGTAAACAAAATAGTGAAAGAAGAGAAGAGCGAGAGAGGGGGAAAACCTGTTCGAAATATTGCAATA